AATATCGGAGTAGATTATTGACTCTCCAGTTGATAGTTTACTTCCACTCCATTTGCAGATTCCTAGCACTTGTATGCTATACCTTCTCATCTCTTTTGCAATCTGGGCAACCTTGGTAGGTTCATATATAGTGCGAACATCCCATGTCCCCACGTTTACTTTCGCTTTCATCGAGGGAGAGAAGACAGATCGGCCGATTGGCTTGTCGAAGTCTTTCACCAACCGGAGTCATTTCGTCTGCCCGGTTCCAGCGAGGAATAAGTTTCTTTTTGTGTTTTATATGTTGTCTGTTTTTGAAGTTTCTTTAGCGGTTGGATTGGTGTTACGGGGTAGGGTTGCTAGCACCATGCCCACCTTCCCTCTTTATCCGGGCTTAGGACCGGCTACTAACTAGTGAACTAGTTAACCAGGAGAGGTTGTAAACGGAAATAATAAGGTATTATCCTTAGAAAAGTGCCAGAGCTGCAAAGTACTAGTTAATTAGCTAGTAGTGACACTTAAAACTCATTGAGTAACTGAAAAAATCAACGTAGAACCTCACACTCAAGGTGCCAAAGAGAACGGGGATAGGAAAGGAGTGGTACCAAAGTAGACAAAGTCGTGAGAAAACGATAAGTTAAGATGAGGGTCAATATGAATATTCAAGCTTTAGATGCTAAAGAGTGGATACATCTGCGCTACTGCGGCCGATTCCCAGCCATGTCACAAAAGGACGTCAACCACTGATTCCTATCGTTTTGAGTACCCCATCCGGGTAGTCTACATCTCCTCACACGGCTCAGACCTACAGTAAGGAACTTCATCGACTGCGTCCACGTCTTGATGTGGTCATCCTGAACCTTGTCCCAACTTCCCCTACCATGGCACACCGAGGTCTCGTTGGGTCGGCCTGTGAAGTACATGTCCAAGTCATCTCAGTCGACAAAGGTTTATAACTCCATCAATCGACTTGCCTAGTGCCCTTCGACATTGCTCAAGGGCGAACTCACCGAACGCGAGTAATGCTACGAAGACATCTCTGATCAAACCCTGTAATCTCTTTATACAGTTTCACTTTGACGGCCATATCTCGCAGTTGTACAATAGGACAGAACGAACTGCAGCGGAGTATACTCGTCGTTTGATGGATAGTCGGATGTCTCGTCAGTCGGCGCCACAAGTTGGCAAACGCGAAATGGGCCTTCTGTATCCAAGATAAGAACTCGTCAGTAACCATCCCGTTCGGGTTGATGCAACTGCCCAAGTAAATGAACTGGTCAACACACTATGCAAGTTTACTCCTTATCATTAAACTTTGAATGATTAGAGGCCAGTAGTGGACCATCATTTTAAATTTGACGTGTGAAATGCATGGAAAATATACTCAAGTTTCTCCTTAATGCGTTCAGAAGGCCCTAAATTGCCTCAGCGTCCTCACCTAGCAGGATAATATCGTCTGCATACCCCAAGACAATTAGATGACCTCTAGAGAAAAGGTCAATCCCTGTGAAGTCCGAAGTACTTATGGTTAGATCCACTGGTACGTCTATGCCGGAGTTAAATAAGGATGGTGACAGTGAGCAGCCCTGGCTAACATCACTAGTTATCGTCAATTCTGATGACATCTGTGCGTTAGGTCTTACACGGCTGCGTGAGTTCGACTAGAGAGCTTTGATCAGCTTCATATACTTGCTCGGTACTCCTTTCGCAGTCAGTCACTGCCACACAACCTCACACTCAGTTGAGTCAAATGCCGCCTTCAGGTCGAGAAATATGGCAAGTGTTAGTAGATATATATGTTCCAGAACCTGTCGTAAGGTATTAAAATGGCTGACCCACCTCCATTCAAGTCTGAAACCGGTCTGGTTTCCTCGAGTTCCTCATAGATGACGGGTAACTATGGGCCCTAGGGTTTGGGACACAATGTTAGCAAAACTAATCCCCCTATGGCTGTCACAAAATTTCTCTCCCGTCTTATAGACTGAGGTGATCAGTTAAGTACACCAGTCCGACGTCACAACGTGTAGTTCCCCATACACCACCTACTAACTCTGTCACTTTAATTAGCCATTTTCACCTCTATCCTTGAAAACTTCGGATGGCAAGCTGTCAGATGCTGCTGCTTTGCATCATTTCAGGTTCGATACGCCTTTCCCTATTTCAAGGAGAGTTGAAGGACCAACATCAAACGAGATTTTCAGGTTCAAGCTGGATTTGGCGCAACTGAGCATCAGTTGAACTGTGCGTCAAAGTGTTCTCCTCAACGTCCTAGCTCCCTGTCCTGAGAGGTTACCAGCGTTCCATCCTTCTCGGTGATGGTTTTACTAACCATTGTTTCCTTCTTGCCAGTATCCTAAATAAGCCTAAATAGTCGCCGAGTGCTACCGAACGCTGATGCCTTCTCTACCTCTGTCGCTAACCACCAATGCTCGCGATCGACTCGAAGACTCTCAGTCAACTTAAATTGCTTTTGCTCCTCAACGTGGTCAGAGCTAGATGGAATCATTCTTCTCGCACCAACGACTTCGCATGATATCGATGAAATCCACTGATGTTTGCCATCCTTCGGGAGTAGGTTACCAATTGTCCTTACTGCTGTTTCCACAGCGCACGTAATATTACTCCAGGTTTCTTCAGGAATAGCATTGCTTTCATGTTCAGATAAGTGCTTAGCTAATTCCTCCCTAAATACGTACTAAGCGTCATCTTCCAATCGAGCATAGATAGGCTTTACTGTCGTCTGTTTACTGCGACTAATAAGGTACAGAAATACACAATCCCATCCTAGAGTGTGATCGGAGTTAAAGCTGGTACTCCAGAAAGAGTGGCGAGTCCTCCACCGATCCTCTCCAACTATGGCTTATAACAATGTGCTCTGTCTATTGTTGGTTTGAAGCCCGTGGAACACCATGTGAGATAGCGTCGCTCCGTGTGCAGAAAGTCAGTTACAGCCAGAAACAAGTGCTTGTCGGAGCGAAATTGCAAGAGACGATCACCGTTGTCGGTCCGTTGGGGTAGGATTCCGTAAATACCCCAAGATGCCTTTCTGATTGGCTCAGCTTCCCCACTTGGGCGTTAAAACCACTTCTTATTATGACTATATCTGAACGTTTTGCTTTCTGTAGCACAGTTGACAGCTTTTTACATAAGTCATTATTTGCATCATTCAAGATGCAGTAGGCAAAGATTACGAATAGGCATCGCCTAGTCTCACGCTCTTTTCTAGTTTTTGCAGATTCATCCAGTCGAATAGCATACGAATGACTCCTGACTAGTATCCAATCAAGGAGCGCACTTCCTGCCCCAGTTCCTTGCTATGCCTATCCCATCGAGTTCCTAGGAGCAGGCTACTGGGTCTTCCGTTACTTCAAAGGTGAATTTTGAAGACTCACTACTATGGCCGAAAGAGGTCAATTTAATAACCACACTCGGGGCACGTATACGTGTCACCGACACAACATACATCCATGGCTAGAGAATCCAGTTTTGGTGAGTGACGCTTACTATTGATTTGGCAAACGGTTCGGACATTGAAAGCTCCTATATGAAATCGGTGGCGATGTCTTAAAAGACTAGAAAAGAGGTTCTGATGGCTTTTATCACTGACAATGGTTGTGGAGTGAGACGTTGAAGGTGTAACAGGCTTAATATTAGTATACGGAGATTAAGGCAAAGGTGGAGACAGGGGTTGAGGATAGGTTAGGTTTGATTGGGACTACTGAAAGCATGCGGGTGGTTGACACTACCGGCTGTCCATACTGTGGGAGTCTAGTTCTTCTTAAGGTTCCTGAAAGAGAAAAAGATTCGTGACCACAGAGCCCACATGACAAATGCATAAGGCCTGTCACACCTAACCTTTTGTGGGGTGTTGTTTCGAGGTTTGCTTGCTCTAACACCGGCTAGAAAGGACCACCGGCACCAGATGATGGTTCAGGAAGAAGTGTGTCATTTTTGAGGCCGACCTTTTCTAACCCCCTTCTTAGTGGGAAGGCAGCATTAGCGTGGTACCCCTGGTCATCCAAAGGAAATAACTCTGTTATCACACCCCATCTAGGTAGCAGCAGTACAACTTTCCTCTCAGACCCGCATTATAGTGTAGAAGCTTACACTACAACGACAACTGATTTCCGCCTTCTCACTACCCAACACGCCTTCTTGGTATGGTAGGACATTAGGGCAATAAGCGTTTCTACCAGGATAGCGCATTGGGTCATTATGATAGGCGAGCCCGACCACCACGTCAAGGGAGTAGCCATCGCTCTTGACTTAGGACCCATACTCTTACTTGACTCACGCAGACTCACACTAAGATGCTTAGGGCGGATCTGACCAACAAAAATATTGGAAAACATAATTACAGAAATAAACACCGCAATCATGGGGGCAAAAAGTTAAAATACACTAATTCTATGCTTACTCTTATGCAACCAAAACGACCTCATCACGGTAAACTGTGACTGGACTATGCTGCCAATACAGATAATTTCGTAACCCCAAACAAAGCTTAACAATCTTAAATACAAAGCCACTATATGGTAACTAAAGAGGACACTGTTAGCACGCGTTACTCTTTGCAAAAATCAATTTACATACAGTTTGCAAGGAGTTTCCAGTTAGGAATGGAAATTAAAAGCAGAACTCTTGACGGATTAGAAGCTCGGCAGCAATAATTGTTTTTCAGAAACGTTTCCACATAAACGGCATCCTAAAATCGCAAACATGGGCAGGTTCCTTCGGAACTTAGGAGATATGTTCACCTAACCCATAAACTGTGACACTGGGTACATATCTTTCACGTCCAACCAGAATGACCATCAAAGAAGCAGAAATAACGCAGTGAGGTCAATAAGGAGTGGTGAACCAAGTAACCTGTAAAAGCTTTCGGTAAAACAAGACAAGGACAAAAGCAATTCACATCATACACAGAGGTAGGAAAGTTTTCTTCGGATGAGTGGGATAAAAAATGATTACATATTTACTGGATTTAGTAAATTATAGCCACATTAATTGGATTAATGCTGTTATTGAGGTGGCACAGTGTAGGTTGGAGGGACTGCGACTCCTGGTTGCGGCCAAGGCACTTGTGGCCTTGGTGGAATAATCATGCCTTGAGGAGGAACCAAAGGATGGGGTGGCCTGAATCCCGCAGGGACGCCAATAATAGGATACCGTGGAGGATAACCCAGCCCTGGAGGGGGCATTCCTGTCGCTGCACCAAAGAGTGGGGGCGGCATTTTGCCTTGTTTGTACGCTTCAGCTATTAATGGATCAAGATAACATTGGGGTTAGGCAATTTACATGTATGATCCACCAGTCTTTGAACCTGTTCTTCTAGCCACTTCTGATAGTATTCTTTCACGTTGTCCTTGTGATTCCTACCACCACAATGGGTCTTCCTCACTGACGGTGAATCATGAGTTAAGTACGTATCACAATAATCACAATAATACCTAGATCCTATATATATAAACATAGATGTACATACTTCGGCATTTTACACCTGTCCGTATCACCAATTTTAAGTGACGCGGGAATCTTGTACTATGAAGAGCAACCAGCTCAGATAATACAAAATTGCCATTTTCGAGAAATAGTGCCCGATTCCTTTCTTTTATTTCGGCTTCGGCAGCACTCAGCATTCGTTCATGTAACTTTGTCAGCAGTGTTCAAACTATGAACGACAGAGAAAACTAGTGATCTAACCTATAACTTCAATATCATAAGCAGAGGTTTATAGTTTTTGAACTCTCTAGAAGGTCAGTTTATCTAGTTTTTCTATGCTCCTCTAGATGTGGCAGAAATCTACAGTTTATAAGATTATAGTTTTCACGGTAGTGATTGTCTGTCTGAAGTCTTTCTTTTGCAAATTGTAGGCTGCTTTGTCTGGGGGACCAAGTGAGTTGCAGAAAACATCAATTGACCATTTGCAGTTCATGTTTTATAAGCATTCGTAAGCAAATATAGCGTGTAATTCAAGCAGCTGTGGGAAAAGTGGGCGAGTAAGAAGTGAGAGAAGTGAAAAATACTTGAACAGAGTAAGTGTTACTGGCAGTAATATGGAGAAGGGATGGGCCCCACTGCGGACACTAGTGTTGGATAATGCGAAGATGAGTGACGGTAGCTTCAGTTGCTTCCAGCGAATGTTCATAGAATACCATTTGCTGGCAATCATCTGTGGAGCAGCCGTTCAAAGGGTCCGGCTCATGTAGTTGTATCTACATCTTCTGGCAGGGTTTGCGGATTTGTCCTGGTGCGAACTTGACAGACGCAAAGACCAATCACTAATTATTTGAATACGAGACCAAAGAAGAACGCGGTAGTGTAGCCAGATGGAATAGTATATTCGGGTGGTTGTGCCAAGATACCGATGCATTCCAACTGACTGGCTAGAGAGCCGATTACGAGCAGTGCAACGTAACACGATAGCGTGCCAAATGGCGAGGATGCTTGACCGGGTGCCTTCAGCTTAGCGAGTCCAGTTAAACTACCAAGGTCAGCGTCAATGTCGAGTTTCTCGAACCCCAGGCTGTTGATTTTGGGGAAGCGTGCGACGCTGCCGGGTGTTCCACACTTTGTGTGAGAAGACGTTGGACTTTACCCTCTTCTATTTACGGTGGGTTATGACGGTGATGTTCGCGTAAGGCTGTAGATAACGGACGGATGATATTGTCCCTTAAGGATGGCCCATCCGATGAGTGACCTTGTAGGTCGTTGTTAGGTCTCCTCTATTCCTTCATTGGCTTGAGGTAGAAGAGCCGAGTGGGCTAACACCTTCAGCGTTTGTTTTGACAGTCATTTCAGCAGTTGACTTCATTGCCCTTCTTCGCATCTTCGTGAGGGTACTTCTGTCCCTCCCAAGGACAACAGTAGCTTTCGGATTGCAGACCTGTAAATGTGGCCTAACACCGGTTTTAAATACTGTGAGGAAACATTCAGGGGTCAGAACTCCAAGTTATCTTCGTGAGAAGCGCATTATTAAACTTGCCTTTTCCGCTACGGCATTATGACTTGCCCTAGTACCTATCTTGTCGGAGACCGTTTGTCATAGGTTATTCTCTGTGGATAACCCGGTGGTCGCGCACTCTCTGTGGTGTGCCCGGTTTTCACCGTTTTTCATCACCCTCCACTTCAGGCGAAGGCTGAAACCGTGTGCAGCCAACCGGGACCCCAACCTCAGAAGAACGGCTAGTCTCATCGTAGGATCCTCTTCTTTTCCCACTGTCATGCATATTTTGGTGTCACTGGCAGAAAGAAGTATGAACCAGGAGATTCGAACGGGGAGGCCACTCATGAGGAGAAAAAGTAGGAGTGGCTCGAGGGTGGATACTTGACGAGCTTCTGTTCTTGCCGTCTCTCAGACCGACCTAATTCTGTTTACCTTAGTACAGAATTCTCTGTAAACCATGTCGTGTGATGCTCAGTGACAGCCAATTTCACTAATTTAGGGGACATGATGTAGTGTGAGACGCTATAGCAAGCTTTGACTAACTCCTGGAAGATAATGTGAACTGATTGCTCGTCGTTCTACCTGCTGATCTGGCCGTATGAAGTGGTCACCGGGTTTGTGGCACATGACCGTCCAGTTCTGAAGTGATGTTGGGTGGGGTGAACGATATTTTCTTGGTCTGGGTAGCCCGAGTCAATATCTCCAACCGGGCCCTTCAGAACCTTGGGTAGCATGGGAGGTTACACTGTTGGTCTGTTGTTACATGGGTGCTTTCGGTCACCTCCTTCTAAATTGGTGAAATGGTAGTGAGTTTCAATTTTTAAGGAGTTGACTAGCACATGGGCATGCTTGGCACATCGGAGCAATTCCGCAGGACCAGTGGCCCAATGCCGTCATGGTAGAAGGAATTCCTTCCCTGAGTGTTGGAACTTTCGCGAAAAAATGGTTTGACGAAATCTCAACCTTCACCACCTTTGAATCATAGTCCCGGAACTCCGTTGGATCACTCGACGTTGCTGGTGTCTGCACCACCTGAATATAAGTGTAAGATCTGGGCATTGCAGTTGAGTGTAATCCGTTTTAGTCTGTTTATTAGAAATATCACACAGTGAAACAGTAGCATTTACTGGATAACGTTTCGGACATAAGTTATTGTCCATATTCATATCAGGTAGCTCCACAACTTCGAGACAGTCTTTATATATTCCTAGTTTTCTCTCCTTCTCTGTGGTGACAAGGGTAGTAGAATTTTCCACACATCTGGGACAGGTGCAGCATCATTTTGATTGCATGTTTTTGGTGTCGATTCGATAAACAAAGATTTGGTTATCAATCTCTCCCTCCACACAACTAGCTTAGTTTTCAACACTGTCACCCTATCCCACGCAACTGTATGATTGTGTGTCATTGCTAGTGGACCCAAAGAATGTCAAGTAAACCAAAATGACAAACTACCTACAATTTACAAGAAAAACGGATTTTATGATACACATGTATGAAAAGCTATGCGGCACAGCACAAATAGTATTGTCAGTGTTATGGATAATCACTGGTTACCTGGAGGTTATCTCTTCGGTATTGTCCACCACAATTTTGGGATACTCCAGAGATCAGAAGGCGATATTTGTTGTCTCTGCGCTGTGGTCTTCGGTCGGCCTGATTGTCGTAATATCTGGAAGTAGGATGAGAAGTCCTGTGAATTCCCAAGACGATCAGTTATTATGCGCGACAGGCAATAGTCACGGAGGCAGAAGTCGGAATGGTTGGAAGCACATTATATTTCCACGATTAGCAGCAGCAATAGATGCAATTACCGCCACAACCAAAAAAGTGTATATAAAAGCAACATTCGTTTCTACAAGTACCAAGAATAATGTACAGAATGTGTGAAAGAAACGATGAAAAGGAAATATTGCTTATAGTTGAAGTGGTTTAAACAAGACCGTAGCAGTCTCCATACATCGCATGCAGAGCTATAGCCGAGTTTTACTCTAAATTTCTTTTCTTATTAGGATCTACTGATCTTGATCTAGCTAAGCTTTTGTTATTCTAATCTACCCTGGTCGACTGCTTAGACCTATGTACTTGACCTCGCAATCATTGCAAGGAATCTGGTAGACCGGATTATTTTGCTTAGTTGCATCGATAGGATCTTTTAACCTACGAAGCTTGTTTCTAAGTGAGTTTGTTGGTTTGAATGCCACTTTAACCCCAGCCTTATTGGGAATTCTTTGCAGTCCGTCTGAGGTGCCTTCCTCGTATGGTAACACATCAGAGGCTTTGAATCCTCTCTTAATCCTGTCGCCATTATTACCACTAGTAGTGGGATTATTATTATCAACAACTTAGTCGGGTGGAGGGAGAGATTGATAACCAAATCTTTGTTTATCGAATCGACACCAAAAACATGCAATCAAAATGATGCTGCACCTGTCCCAGATGTGTGGAAAATTCTACTACCCTTGTCACCACAGAGAAGGAGAGAAAACTAGGAATATATAAAGACTGTCTCGAAGTTGTGGAGCTACCTGATATGAATATGGACAATAACTTATGTCCGAAACGTTATCCAGTAAATGCTACTGTTTCACTGTGTGATATTTCTAATAAACAGACTAAAATGGAACTATGCACCATTTTGTTGAGCCCCCATCAAGTTAGCTGCTCAGCGGTTCTACCATCTCACTTCCGCTCACGGATTCTCCATTCGGTTCTGTGATGAGGCCCAAACTTCTGTCCGTCGGCTTTCCTCGTGACAAGAACCAAAATAAGCCTTTTGGTTTGTAGACCGGGCAATTAGCTGAGCTGCCGTTTTATTTTCACCCACTGCGAAATCTTACTTTACATAGGCTGGATGACTCGTAACCAGGACAGTATGATTCCCACGAGACCCACCTCACGTGTACCGCGCCGTCTTCTTCCTTTGCATTCTTTTTGGGGTTGTGTGAGTAACTCGAGAGCCTTTTGGAGGTGACCGTCTGGTTAATTTTGGAACACTCTCTTACGGTTCCCCTATATACCACCTCATATATGTGTCCGGTGTTTACCTGTCGATACAAGGTGCTTGCTCCAGATGTTGTGTTGTGTATAGTAGCAGCCCGTATGCCACTCCAACTACGTGCCTTGTGTTGTCCGTAGCTAAGCAACACCATGAGGACTGTGTTATTGCGTGAATATATCATCAGTCGCCTCCTCGTCGTTTAGATGCGTTCTACGTCATATGGCCGCTCCTCCTTCTTTTAACTATCTGTTGCCGCCAAATAGGGTCACCTTAAGAAGGACATTTCCTTATCCAAGGTATCGAATAAGCTCCACTTCTCCGCATTGGACATCATGACTTCAGATAGATGGGCGAACACTGTTTTGAGTTCCATTAATTCACCTCGAAGGCTTACTAAATTGCTTTGGAAGCATATGAAGAATCTAGGAACGGGGATTCACGCGGAAGTTGTTGTGCCTTTGTTTCGAACGCTGGTTGCCAGTCCCTTCTGGACTGGCAAGCCTCCACATTCCTGTTCTTTTTGGCATCCTGATGTTAGCGTCACAG